GACCTTCATCTGTGGGTATGTCAACTTAACTCTACTCCATTAATCTATTTCTACAGTTTCAGCCTGGGCTACGAGTCATAACTTTTATTCTATTTCATTGTTCATACCGATTATATCAGACGAATTTGTTTAGCGTCTTTCTCGTGTCTGTATCTTCAAGCTAAGTCCAAGCATTAAAAATTTTGTTTTTGCAATATTTGTCAAAGAATATTTTTTCCAAATAAGAATCAATTAAGTCAAAGTGATAGTTTATATTGTTATCACCTTTCATTAAAATATTATCTGTAATTATTTATTTCTGTAATATTTTATTTTTGAGTAAAATAAAATTCTTCCATGATTACGAATATCACAATTGATCTTGAATTTTTACTTGTTTTAGAAAGAATGTTTTTAAAGAAGATTGGAAACTGTTTTAGTAAAAAAACGAAACATTTTATTTTATTTTTTTTCATGAGTCTACCTAACACAAAAATCATACAACTGGAATAAAATGTCATTAATGTTTCTAGATTTCGGGACTTATCACAAAACTATTTTAATTGTTTGTGTTAAGATTTAAAAATTGAACAATATTCTGAAAGAAACACAAATTTTGATTTATAACGAAGTCTCGCGATCGAAGCCGCGAGGAAACACAAATTGAAACCTTTATGGAGAATTTTGATCGAATCCGAAAACCTGAAGCGTTGTACAGCACATACCACAGAGTATAATACAAAGATCCAACCTTGTATGTAACTGGCAATTTCTATGTTATATGTCGATTTTTCGCCGTAAATCTAGGTTATATACTAATAATATTGTTAGATTTTGAGTAAATTAATTTACTAATACCTGTAGTAATTGCGTTATATTTTCTGTTCATGAAACTATACTGTGTGCTTGATGTACTCAAATATTAAAAAGTTTCTGGATTATACGAAGTATTCCTGGTTTAATCAATTTCGAAAAATTGAATGATTATTATTTACATTTACATTTTATCTTAATATTAATAATATAAACGTCTTAATGAATCTTTTCAATTATACACATAACAGTGTATAAACTTTCATAATTCGAAAATTTCATTTTCAATTTGGTTTATACATTTAGACAATTAAATATTGTAAAATTTAAAGTTATTGGTTTTAAAGACAGAAAACATTCAAATAACATAGTACAGTGGAACCCCGGTTAACGAACGTCCTGGTTAACGACCAAATCGGTTAACGAAGTTTTATTTAGCAAAAATTTTGTCTCGGATAACGAACGTAACAGTATTTTGTGTCAAATTTTAGTTGGTGTTAGGCATGCGCGAGTTAAGCATTGCTTTTCCGAGTGTTTGTGCTATACTTCTTTTTTCAGTTTTGTGATTTATATATTTAATCAATATGGCATCAAAGAAAGAAAACAGTCATAGTGACAATAGAAAACGACAATGTGCTATTGCATTTGAGAAAAATTTTGATTAAAAGAGTAAGACAATCAACTTTAGATTAATTTCTTGTTATTTATGGAAAGAGTTTGTTTTTTTGTTAAGTTATGGCAGCGCAACCCTTCGGCGATCTGACTACGGGGAATGCCTTCTGGGAGGTGTTTTTAAGGGAAACTGGCCCCTATTTAGGCGTTAAAGACGTGAAGAAATCCCGGAAAACTCCACGTGGCCAGCCCTTCTGAGCAAGATGCGAACCCACGAACGAACTCCCCGTGTTTAAGGTACGAAGACCACTTAGCCACTGGTGGGTTTTTTTTTACCGAAAGAGACTTCGACTCGAAGAATCTTCCGATGAAGTGCTACCCGTTATTTTTTTGGAGGGATTTTCCTTCTAAGCATTAAGGTTCGTATATCTCCACTTTTCTGCCATCAACTACAACAAATGAAGGTATTATTAAACAAAGTTTACATGTTTGTTGCTGTAATGATAGATACTATGTTTTTCTACATTTTCATCAAAGAAAATTACTGTATATTTCAAATAAAATGACAAAAATTTCGGAGACTAGAACGGATTAATTGCATTTGCATTAATTTCTATGGGAAAAATTGCTTCGGTTAACGAACAATTCAGTTAACGAACGGAGTCGCGAAATGGATTAAGTTCGTTAACCAGGGTTCCACTGTATATAGTTTTCTGTTAAATAACATCTGTGGTGCAATAGCGCAACGAAAATTTACTAACGACTTTTCAGTAGTGATATTATGCACAGGTTCCTCTCTTGACCAGTTAGTAATTTGTATTGTGGAAACGATTTTAATTTCTTCCATTGCTACTATAATAGATGAATGAAAATTGACACCGATCATACAGGTTTTCAACAAAAATAATATTGAAGGATTTATTTCTACTAATATTGAAGATGTTTTATGCAGTCACTAGCTGAAAACATTTCCAACTTCAACATTTCGGTCATTTTCATCATTTCAACAGATTTAAAATAAATGTTTTGAAAACTTCTTGTAACAGATTATGTTGTAATGAGTTTAATAACGTTTAAAGGTAGATATTAATGCTAATATTCATAGAAAACAATAGAAATATGGAAACATTGTATGAAATATAATTGCACGGAAAGTTTGAAAAATATTTCAAGTATACTGCGCTATGGAAGGTTTTCTTACTTTTCTAATCATGTTTGAACGATGTGTTTTACATGAAATGGCTGTTTTGTGTAGGAATTATCTTTGTGATTTCTAAGCATTGAAAACATAATACATGCATTTTATAAAAAAATCAAATAAATGATTGTTACTTCTATACTTTTAAAAGTATTTTAAATAAATTGATGTAGAGCTTTTGAGAAATACATATCAGTGCAAGGTTCGGTATCGAGTACACTACTTTAGAATTACACACAAGCAGAGTATTGGCGATTCCACTCATCTGTACAGGACCCTATGTAAATTTAAAATTTCGAATGTTACTGTGTTTATATTGCTATTAAATAGTCTTGTGTGTTTTTAACATGTAGGTTTACGTTATTTGAAAAAGATGAAAGTGTCGTGAACCAAATTTGTTTTAATAAGCATTCAGGAAAAAATATTTAATGAGTGAGTGATATTTAATAACTTGTCTTTTGCATCTTTTTTAATTTATTTTTTATATCATAGAATTACTTTTATTGTTTATAGAAAAAATTTGTAAATACACAATAGAAAAAATTAAAAATATACATTTATTGTTAAAACTTTAGAAAAATGAAACATCTGTTTTCATCTTAATTTTGCTTGTTAATGTAGAATTCTGAATAAATATCAGTTAGATATTAATATATTTTAAATTAAAAAATAAACTTGTACATGGAACACTCGTATAAAATAATCTCGATAAAACGGTTCTATTTACGAACTAAGTTGTACCGATGTCGAACGTGTTTGGTAAGTCTTTCGATTATTTATGTTAAAAGATTATCACCTAACGCAACAGTAAACTCATCATATAAATGTAAAGTAATTTAAAAATTTATGATAAAATTATGTCAATACAAAACTTAAACAAGCTGAATGTCTCAAGAGACACTTAAGTTAGGCAAGTTTTCGTTAACAAACAAAATTGTCTTTTCTGATGAAATAATGCAAAGGTGTTATATAGAATACCTTTGCACTATTATGTATTATATATAAAGGTAATATAATGATGTAAATGTATTATTTTTCCGTTTAGCCGTCGTACGTTGTTAGGCAATACATTTTTGTTGTTTTTCATTTTTATTGTAGAAAATGTTTGGTTTCCTACTTTAGCGAGTATAAAGTGTGTTTCCTATTGCGCTCTGTATCGGAGTGGGTGACTCAAGACGAACAAATAGGCCTATATCATTCTCTCGCAGAAGACACTTCTGAATCAACGAACAAAAATAAATAAATATATTACGTAAATTATGTTTCTACAATACTCCTCCTGAAAAATATTATCGTATTTTCAGTATAAAAAAGTGAAAAAAATTACTTTATCTTTTTACTTTCACTTTCCTGGCTGTGTTTTGTATAATAGAAAATATGGCGATCGGTCAAAAAGACCCTGCTTAAGAGTTTTACATTTTGGAGCCACTGATTTTTTCATAATTAACGTGGAGTATCAGCGAAGTTTATTCTACGTGGCTTATAGAACTGTGTTTGTTCTGAAAATATATATGATGGATCCAAAAATCTAATTGTCTATTTAACTGTATTCCTAGTTGTCCTTGCGTTCGTTTTCGATATGCAATGGATCCAAAGTAATAATGACTGTGCTCAGTGATGCGAATGAGAGAACCAAACGAATTAGACGTAGGGGTGAAAACAAAAATACCATTGAGTGCTCCTAACGGAATATACACGTGAAAAACGAACAAAACATAAGAACGAAGTAATCGACATAAATTGGTTTATTCTTCGTTTGGTTGACTGCCTTTCCGTGTGGACAATTGCAAAAATGCCTACCTGATCAGTGCAAGTATCGTGTCTAACGTGGCTAGCAGGTACAACAATATTTTCTTTTGTGGCAGATACAAGAATATTCTTTTCCGTGGCAGATACAAAAATAGCGTCTTTCGTGTCGAAAAGTGCAAAGTTCTGTCCACGTCCGTCAAGTACAAGAATCGCCTCTTCTATGCCTATCAGATGCAGGGATCTGTTTTTTTTTTTTTCCGGCTTTGTGCTAATTCTATAGCGATACGACAAAGTTTCGCGATGTCGTAATAATAAATTGTTTGTAATCTCTGCACATTGCTTCGATTTGTCCGCGTAACACATTACAATGAACTACCTCAGAAGGTAATTAAATTACAAATAACTTGCTGCTCACCAAGAGCCAAGAAGATAAAGCCATAGAACACTAGTAGTTGGTGGTAATTTCGCGCCTGGCCAACGAAATAATTACGTGGATGTTTTCGTAGTTTTTTTTACGTTTTTATCCTTTAAAAAGGGTCCAGAATCTTAAAAAACTCCTCCGGGAAGCATTTCCCTAGTTTGCAGATGGCCTACTTGTTCTGTTACCTTATACAAAGCAATAACTTACACGATTGGAAAATAACAGTGTTTAAAACATTTATTTATGCAAATAAGATTACATGTTTTTGTATATATTATACAAATAAACAAAAACACAATTACAAACGTGATGAGTAATACTTTTCTCCATAATGAGTTTTTAGCCATTTAGCTAATGTGTGAGCATCGAGCAAGATATCACGAATGCTTCTAAATTCGTTATATATCTTTACATAAAGTGGATTTTTTGAATTTTCGTTATCTAAAATATAAAATATTATGATTTCATTGCAAACTGAAAAAATCTCGATAATTCATTATACTTTCGTTAAAAAATATTTTATATAAAATAAACCATAACCATTTAAGTTTTGAAGAATTGTACCTGATCTTTTCCTTCTAACCATAGAGTTGCGTATAGCCTCCACTTTTTCAATTCCTGTATTAAGGATATTTACAAGATGCTTCATTTTCGTTAGTAATTCTGAATCGAAAGTGTAGTCTGCAGTAGAGAAGAACAAAATTCTTTACAAAGAAAGTTTAAAAAAATACATTTTAACATTTCAATGTGTTTAAGATACAATGAGGTTCAAACAATATTGTAAATAAATGTTTTTATTTATACTTATTATAACATAATTATAATTGTATCTTTTCATTTATTTCTATTTCCAATAGTTATTAATAAAATTGACTTTTTAACTGAATTAAAATAGCTGACGTATTCTCTAAAAAATTAAAAATTTGAAGAAGCTAAGTCGTCTTCCTTTCCATCATGTCTAAACCGAATTGGACCACCTAGTTTCTTCAAATTTTTATTTTTTTTCACTTTCTATTTCATAAATAATAAGGCGGATAATAAGAAACTTGTTAAATGTTAAATGAGATATAAAATTCGTATTATTAGATCAATATATAATATATATATATATATATTTAAATCAATCCTATCAATCCTATGGTTATAACTTTATCGTATTTATTCGCATTTAAACAAAATAATTAAATCTCACACTTACGTTCCATTCCGTAATAAAAATGAGTGAAATTTTTCACTTTTTCTATTTCATTGCTTAGGATGTTAGCGAGATCATTCATTTTCTCAAGTACATTTTCTTCAAAGACGTAATCATCTATTCAAAAGCATTACTTTATAAAGTGGTATAATCAATATTATAACAAATTAGAAAGGAAATATATATATATATATATATATATTGTTAAAAATATATAAAAAAACCACACCATAAATGTATACATTCATCTGTTACTTATAGAAGGAAATATATATTTAAAATTAAATTAAAATCAATTATTTAATATTAGATTAATCTTAACTATGTTAAATTTTGAAAAAAAAACCTGAAAAATTCGATGACTGTAAGGAAAGCTTAAGTTTCTGTAAGTATTAGCATTTCTATAACTTTTGCCAAATACATCAATTAAACGTTAATGGGTTACCAATAACTTCACCTGTTGGTATAGATTCTTCCATTCTTCCTTGGTAGCAAAGACAATGTTTCAGACATATTCCCAACATGAAAATCAAGCACGTGAACATGCTTATTTCTTGTAATTTACAATAGTGATTTGAAATATTTGAAAACTGTATTACTATATATTGCCTGCGTTCGTGTCAAATAAATAAGTTCAGATAAAATTTCGAATAATAAATTACATTGTATTAAATATAAATCTAAACCTTTCAATCTATAACGTTATGAAATTTTTTTAGTTAAATTAATAATAACTGAAATATAAGACGTTAAAAACGAATTTCAAATATTTTAGTTTATTTTATCGTTAAATATCACGATTTTTACTTTCCCGGATGTTATATATAACAGAGGAAATGAACAACAATCGATAAAAAAGACCTATAAATATTTTAAATTTTTTAGCGGAGGGGGGAGAGTGCGTTATATGTGGAGAAATGTAAGTAAATGTGAGGACATTATCTGTATAAATTAATGTTAGTGGGGAGCACGGTTTTGTTCAACAATTTGAAGCTTAATATCTTCTGTGCCTTTTGCCGAAAATTTAAAATTTTACACGGAGGTTTGTGTAGAAGAATTAATGCAACAAAATTTTTGTTGTTAAAGTCGATAGGTCAGGAGATAGAGGGCGTTCGTGAGCCTTGGAAATTAAGACTTTTGCCATTTTATAATAATTAATTATATCAATATTTTAAAATAAAATGCACTTCTGTTCATACTACTGCTTCGAATAAGTTAAAGTCATGATAAAAACTAAACAAAATTTAATTATAACAATTAATTACAACTATTAGGCACCATCTTTCCTCTTCCTTTCAAAAGCAACTAGTGCTCTCTCTTTTTATTGTTTTCTCTGGCCCCTTGGATACATTTTCTCTTAAAAACTTCTTTCATCTCGGCCATGATTGCTTTTATACAAAACAATATCTCTTTTTTAAAATTCCTTTCTATACTTCTAGAGACAGTAGTAACAATTTTTAGTTCGTAGCTCATTTGCACGTAGTCCTTCTCGATTGGCTCTTAGGAGATCAGGACGAATATGACTCACGTGTTCAATCCTGTTGTCATCTACTTGAGTTCCTTCAATGAGATAAGTGACAGGGGTTAATTATTTTTTTCACTATATATGGGCTTTTCATTTGCTCTAAAATTTATGTCTGTTTGCCAACGTGGGGCGATATCGTCCCCGTTGAGAAACACTGTTCTAAAGCATGTTTAGTTCCTTTAACTGTAGACATATTAGCTTCTAACCGAATCACAGTAATCAAATTAAGTTCTATAGTTTTTCTAGTATCAGCGCTAAATCTCTAAGATATTGCTTCTTAGTGTTAGCTCCTAAGCTTTACTGTTACTTTGTTTCGGTTACGATCAAAATTTTACACTTTTAACTTCAATCTTAAACTTCAAGACCGTCTTTGCGCCTTACTCGTTTGGCTCGTTTCTTGTAGACGTTGTTGGTAGCGGCACATCAGCTAAGTCGTGTCGACTGTGCCAATTATATACGACGACTCGTATAACTGTTTCGAATAAGATAAAGGTATGTATAATACGTTTATGTATATTACAATAAATTTTGTTCAGTTTTGAACCAATCGAAAATTTTTTACCGGAATGTCCCGATTTTATTTCTACTCGTAAATAAGTATTTAGAAATCAATTAGGAATTGTAGACGGTAGGTATCGTGAAGGAATGCGTCACGTGCGGTATCGTGAAGGTATCGTGAAGGAATGCGTCAAGTATCCTCTGACGTGTAGGTCTTTGTAATCTGTGGCTGAGGTGTATTCTGTTGATAGTGTAATGCTGCGCAATGGCCTCATAACCAATTCATGGCTTCTTGAAATCTGTAACGATGGATCGATGATTATGTCTGGCCATAGTCTAGTCTTTTCTTTTCTTTTCTTTTTTTTACATTTTCCACCCTGTAGACACTACGAGAACCTTTATTTTTAAAGTACAAATTCTATTAACGGCTGATCATTAGATCAGCGTTTTTCAAACAGTGTGGCAAGCCGATGCGTGCAGTGTTATTCAGTGTACAACTGTGTGTAAATGAAAACGAACACTCTTCCAAATATAATGCGATAGTCTTTCACAAGCACTTGATGTTTTTCCACTACTCATTTATATGCTTTTTATCATCCGCAAAATTACGTTACTTGACTAATTTTTAACTAATGCATAAATCATTCAAGTTTTTCAATAGCTGAAGGAGAAAATACCAAACAGACGTTGTTTTTCCTGAAATCTTCACTTTTAGTCTGGTTAAAAAATTAAAAAAGTTAAATGATTAAATCATATTATTTAATACACGAGAAAACCGGATGATACTTTTCGTCGTGACGTGTATATTTTTTAAGATTGTAAAAAATTAAGTTAAACAATGTTAAAGTGCATGTAAAGAGAAATTTAAGTTTTTTTAATTTTGTAAAAAAGTAAAGAAATTAAGGTTCTCTACTTTGTTCTGTTTCATCATGTATTAAGCAATACGATGTAAATGCTGTTCTTGTATACTGTATATGAATAATTATCTCCTTACTTTTTAAATTTTTGAAATTTAAAGGATAATTTCAAAATTTTTTTCTGAACATATTAAAATAAAAAAGTTAATTTCTATTTAAAAGTAATTTATCAGTTCATAATTTTAATTTATTCACGAATAGAACTACAATATTACATACTTTATAGTTTCATATCAGAAAATGTTTTAAGAATATTTAGTAGTGTACATATTTATTTTATTTTCTGCTTATGTCAATTGTAACTATAGCAAAAATGTGAATAAATTCGTATAACCATAAACTTTACAAATATAACTATACAGTGGGTGATTTGTTAACAAACATACAGTAATCTGTTCCAAGACTTTGTTCGCTATCCGAATTGTTCGTTAACCGATTATCGATTTACCATAGGTTTTTATGGGAGTTTGATTAACTCGTTTTGAAGACCTCTCAAAAAATAAATATATATATATATACTTTCGTTTGTTTATATGTAATAATAAAAATACATATATACACAGTCTTAAATTTTTATTAGTCATGTTTTTTTTCCATTTGTGGGGGTTAAAGAATCTGTCTAATGTCGATTGCTTTTCTGTCTTCTTTAGGATTTTTCAGGAGTAATTAATAGCATTATAATTGTAGAGATCCGCAAGCATTTTAACCTCAACCTGGTTTGAATGCCATTTTAAGACCGTTGCTCTTGGTGTTCTTTATTCATGAGTTCTTGGAGTTCTTCTGTCGTCAGATCAGTTTCAGGTTGCATTATGAGTTCTTTAATGTTCTTTATTTCTCATATGTGGTTTTTGTTACTCCTTTAGCATCTTGAGTCTTATTCATTATACAGTATCTTTCAGTATCATTACAGATTGAACTGATGCATACTGTAGCCTGTTGAAGCCATACTGCCCAGGAACACCAAACATCTACCCACTCTCTAACTTTGCTATTATACTCTCACCTTTCGAAAATAAATACCCACGCAAAACTTAACAAGTGCCGACCCAACAGTTTCGCGAATACTACAAAAGAATTGTTTCTGTCAGAAATATAAAAGGCTGGAATTACAAGGGAGAGTTTCAAAGTTTGGAGAAATACTATCCGAGCAGTAGGCCTATATACCGGGTTGAGCGTCGATGTCGACGTCTCTCGCGCTCCAAAAGGTTTCGAATTGTTGCCTGAAGACCAATTGCTATTCATTATTTTACGTCGCTTTTTTCTTGTGTTTGTTCTGTGAGGTGTTCGTTGTCCGAACATAAAAAGCTATCGCGAAAGTGTTTGTTATCCCATTTGTTCGTTCACCGATCAACCACTGTATTTACATATAAGCTTATATAGATATATTGTTTGAGAAAATAAAAACAATAATTGTAATTTTATTAATTTTTAATGAAAACAAAAAGCGAATTTGTAAGTATAATAAGAATAAAGTAAAATTAAATAGCAAGTTAAAAGATTTATTAGGTTATTCTATACACTTTTACAAGTGATAGTATACAATTTTAATAGAATAATTTGCTCAGCTCATTGAGTTATACAGTATATTGTTATTACACTTATAGTGTATAGATATGTGCTGGAAATATATTGAATTTTATTATGTTCAGTATAATAGGGGTTTAAATTAAGAGACAAACACTATGTTTAAAGTAAAAGATAAGGTGAATATTACTTATTAAATTTGATGTTATTAGGTTAATGTGAATAGCTTTCTTTTCATTAGTTAAGTTCCTAATACAACAAAATAAGTTTGTTGGTAAATAATATAAAATATAAGATAAAACTTACTCAAAGTAGAAAATACATACATTCTATATGTAGCTTTAACATCATTCACCTGGAATACTTTACACAGTTAGAAAGAAACTCTTTCATAATATAAAATTTTTAATATTGAGAAAAGCACTGAAACCATAATTTTAGAATAAGTAGATAAGTTTTTTTTATAATTATTTTAAATAAAATCAAATTGTACAATTTTGAAAAATTGATCTGTAACTTAATTGATAGAATGAGTTTACATGAAGTGTTTATTATAATTATCATAACACTTAAACATCAATTCAGCTATAAATCGAAGAAGAGCTATTACATAACCAACGAAAAGAATAACGAAACTTCCCGTAAGTTCCTCTACTTTTAAAGGACCAACTTCTTTATTATATTCTTGTAGAGCAAGATACTCCTTTTCCGTTACACGTTGAATGATCCCAGTTTCAAACAAACGGATTATTCTGAAATAATAAATGCATAATACATCAGAGTATACTAAACAGGAAAATATAAGAAAAAAATTGTTTTGTATTCTTACATCTTGTCAATGGAAGATTTATATGGGAAACCTTTTTTAAGGAAATATGCAGCAAGAAAAGTGATGCAGTTATCTTCGCTCAAAGACATCGTTCCTTCATATAAAGGCATAACTCTTCCTTTCACAAATATCTCGGGTGAAATAAAAGCGAAACGTTTATTTTTCATTTTGTTAATAATAGCAGATGGCTCTATCATTATATTATCTGGATTTTTTTCAATGTGCTCTCTTAGTATTTTTATATCTGGGGAGTTTTCTCCCTGAAACAAAA